ATGGCCCATGAGAATATTACCCATAAAAAAATAGTCCGTGAAAAAATAGCCCATGACGTAGTAAACCTGTAAATATAGCAATTTACCTGAAATGGAAATAATTTTTTGCAAATCTCTGCGCGCGTAAATAGTAACCCCAAACCTCTCAATTTATTTTTAATTTTTTTTTTATTTCATGTAATGAAATGTATGAATGTAAAAGAATGCGAGCTTTTTCTAACTTTTTGTCACTAGTACAACCAATGTTATGACAAAAATTCAGCTGTTACTCACTTCTCTGATTTGCCATTCATGGTAAACATATGAATTGAATATTAGCATTAATTCCAACAACGGAAATGAATCACTTCCCTTACAGATTTCACGAACTTCAGCAGTTGATGTTTCCTTTTTACGTACTGACCGCATAAATTGTGCAACTGCTCCTGTCTTTCAACAGCTAAAGTCCTCTTCCGCTTACACGAAACCCTTCCGAGTTATTGTTGAGCCAATTTTGTATATTCGGCTGATAGCTCCTGTTGTATTTTCTCGATGAGAAGATATACGTTAGGATCAGATGTAGACACAATCTGCCTGAATCGATTATTCCATCCTTCTGCCGAATTATTAGTCATTGGAAGCTCCCCTAAAGTTCGATTATGTACGTCCCACGGCTCTGAAGGAAATAATGAGGATTTCGGACGTATTGTAATTTTTTCAATTCTCTTACTGCCCTTTTTAGTGTTAGTGTCAGTAACATAATACTTGTAAAAATACTTGCTTAACTCTCAAAGGTATGCAATTGAGTGGAGATATCTCATCCCCCTGGGAACATCCTCAAGATCGTCCTCGTGTAAATCAATGCTTCAATCTACATTTAGTAAATCCAATACTTTTTAAAATTCTCATTCATAATTCCTAGAGAAGTAATTCCCAATAATGGAGACTCACACCAGGAAACGAGCTATCCAATGTACAATACCATCACCAAACGCAAATATGTTCATAAATGTGAAGCTAAAAATAATCTTCTAGCAACACCAAAATCGAATGAAAATTCTATCTATCGCCATGCTGATTTTGCAGATACCATTAATAATATTTCGATTTATTTCGATGATCCTAATATTTCGAATAGGAAAGAAAATCTCTTTAAAATCTCATTAATAATCTCATGAATCTCAATTTCCTGAATACTCATTAGAGAAAAATAGGCAAGGTATTTTCAAGATCACTTTGAATTCACTACAAAATATTTATGCAACAGGAGATAAAGACACTTCGCAAATTCCGATTTCAACCTGAACTTCAATCATTAACTTATTTGGGAATATTGCATGTCATACCCCAGAGACTGCAATGCAAAAAGTGGAAAATTCAATTGCTACAAAGTGCAATGGTATTATAACTATGAATCTACCTGTACATAAAATAGCTTCGAATTTCGAAGATACTATTACTTTCTGTAATGAAGCTACATCTACTATGGAATGTAAAAAAAAAAGTCGTCGCGCTCGATCTGGGCGTACTACTTTTAGGCCAATGGAAACGAACTTCAATGAAATTGAAGAATACTACGGTGGTGGAGTGACAGAAATCTGTCAATATTATAATGCCAAACATTTTCAGTGCGAAGTAATTATTGGGATCAAAAACTCTATTCATCAATGTTGTGAACATCATAAAGTCAAATTATTCCGATTACCGGAAATGCCACGAGATTTTGAACTTCTCTTTGATGGCATTCACCACAAATCCAATAAATTTTTCAAACGAATGAGGTTTTACAATAATTCTTTTCCATTTGCGCCTGTCAACGCAAATTGAATGAATTTCTCAAATCGTCGACCAGGGCCTTACTGTTTTCGAATTCACGGACAGATTTACTATGAATTCAATACTACATTATATAGGTGAACTTTTCATTCTAGATTCTGTAGAAACAATGAATGTTGTACACAACACTCATTCAGCACTGGGTAACGAAGTATTACAGATAACAGATTCGACAACGCGCGATCACAATCCTTTCGTTAAATCATATTAAAGGATGCATGAAGAAGTTGAAGTGCACAAGAATCAAATGAGAAATATGAATAATCAAGAACCTCTTTCAGAATTATGTTTATCATTCACTTCAGGATCTGACTTGGGCCGTACTCGTTATAATCCTCAACGATCTGATGAGGTAGCAGCTTTTCTTTTCACTAGAGCAGATGGAGAAATACCAGAAGCTTATCTTGCAGTACGTGAGTTAAGTACTAAAATATTGAAAGGTTTATCCTTTATTTTATCTTCATGGTACCAGAGAGAAGATAATTAGAGCAGCTTATACGAAATTTCGCATGGCTGTTCGAGATAATGATCGCGTGTATTTCAGCAATGGATTCTCGATGAGTATGTTAAAGTTGAACAAGATCGATTCAAATACATTGAGACCCTTCAATCCAAATTACGTGCTGACAGTTACAATAACCTGGTAATCTCGGAAAATCCGCAAGTAAAAATAACATGCGCTTTGAAAAAGTTATCATTGTGCCATCAAGTTTTACGGGATCACCGAGATTTATGATGCAAAACTATCAAGACCTGCCTATGGTCCCGAAATTTGGGAAACTGGATTTATTAATAACAATGACATGTAATCCTAATTGAAGAGAAATTAAGGAAAGCATCAGAGAAAATCAAACTCCCTCAGGCAGGGCAGATATAACTGCTCGTATTTTTGATATAAAGAAAAGCCATCGTATTGATTTGATTGACGTTCAATAAATCTTGGGTCAACCTATTGCACATATTCACGTTGTCAAATCCCAAAACATTGTCTCTTGTACGTACATCTCTTCGTAAGTCTACAAAATAAATTAAGAACGCCAGAGAAAATTATTTCCGTTTTTTCAGCTGAAATTCAAAATCCTAACGAACATCCACGTTTACTTGAGACTGTGAAGGAAAATATAATCGGTGGATCATGTGGTGAATGGTGTCAAAAGAAGGGTAGTTGCTGGAAAAATTTTCCTGAAAAAATTCAAGAGGAAACAATAATTAATGAGGACTCGTATCCGAGGTATCGTAGAAGAGATACTGGCATGTATTACGAAAAAGTTGGTGTGTATGTATTTGATAATAGATGGATTGTACCATCCAATTTTCAATCATTACCGATATTCAATTATGACATAAATGTTCAAGTAGTATCTTGACTGAATGCACTTAACTGCTTATTAAAATATGCAGGGAAAATCATGATAGAGCGGCTCTTGAAGTAGGTAGTAACTCATCAGAACAAGTCGAGAGTGTCATTCATCATAATGAAATCAAAGATTTCATTGTTGCTCGTTATGTTAGGGCGAATAAAGCCGTTTAGCGTATATTGGGTGAGGAGATACAGAAGAAAACTCAATCTGTTGTCCGTCTTCCAGTTCGTTTACCCAATCAACGACAGAACATAATCATTTCAGATGATATGAATGAAGAACCCATCCGAAATGCTGTGAATGGTTCATTCAAGCTTTTCGAATATTTTGCACTCAACCCCCGTGATGAATTAGCAAGGCAGTATAGTTATACAAAAAAATCCCATGCCATTATACTTGGGTTGGTGGTAAATGGAGAAGCGGCAGAAGTTCATCGAATATACTCGGTCGACTGTATTCTATTGTGACGTGACAACTAGGTTTTTCTCTAATATTTGTCTTTTCCACAATTAGTTTCCCTCTGGGAAATTCCGCTGCCACGGTCCTGTGGACCTCAGTCACTACAAGGTGGATATTCCACTGGAGGTGTCTTTTGACACTGAATGCCTATGCTATTTCAACTCGCAATAGGTTCAATAATCAGATTTTAATCCTTTCAATAATTTGTTCGGGCCAAAAATATTAATATTCACGCTAACTTGATTCTTGAAGGTCTGGATGCTAAATAATCGCTCTCAATTTAATAAGCAAAATCTATATGGTTTATTTAATAAAACTTGTACTGTGCGGGTTCATCATTTAGACCATTCGGGTCGCGATATAATCATGAAGTAAAAGAAAAATGTATTTTGTCTTCAAGTCCAACAATAACAATATAATGACTACACAATTATGTAAATTTAGAACGTCCTCTAAATCACCATGCGTCCATTCAATTCCAGGAATTGCCGAAATAATAATCTCCTAATTATGTAAGAATAATAATCTACTTGATTATTATTACCAGAAATATTCCCTTTATTCCCTCCCCGTATTTCCCTTAACATTCGGGATAATTAACCTCATGTATTTATTGAGGATTGCTGAGATAATCATGAGTTAATTTTAATTGATTTTAGATTTCCTCAATTTGCTCAAAATGACGAAAATGGCGACGTTGGGGACGCCAACAATGCTCTGGGTTTTCCCAGGATGTTCCCCAAGCCTACTTGTCCAATTTACTATCAAATTCCGGGAAAAATAGTTAACAATGTCGCCCTAAATTCTCCCTAGAGAGATCGTCGATTATTGGTCTGGTTTTTCCACAATATTCATTCAAGAAAAAATGGGGAGCTTCTGCCACTGTGTAATTGATAATGTACTTACAGTCGGAAGCTTCTCTCACAATTCAATTTCGCTCTCTTTGCTTACAGTTCTCTGGGCTCCTTACTTCCTCCGGCCGGGAATCACTTCTCAACTCGCAGATTGAGGCCTGCTTCGTCGTAATGATACTGATTTTATGCTTAACACTAATTTACTTAATCTACTATCTTAATTGTTACGTTAGGGGTGTTTTAGCGTCGCTAGCCGTTGTCCGAGTGATGCTCCTTCCCCTTCTTCTCCCAGTCCAGGTTCGTGTCCTTCTTCCTGGATTTCCCAGCCAATTAGGGCAATCTTCTTAATTTTCTTTCCCCCAATAGGAAATTTATCCCTCTCTCCTCTGGGTTAGTGGGTCATGGTCAGCTTGCATGCTCTATCGGGCGAGGTGGAAATTTACTAAAAATCCATGGCGGGGTCGATAACTCCCTTATCGATCGAACTATGAACTTAATCTATTCCGGGTAACATAACCCCACCTGTCAATGCAGTGGGTCCCGGACCATTTCCATAACCCTGAAGCAAAGGAGTAGTGTAGGTATGCTCTTTTAGCAATATTCCTCAACTACTAACTTTAAGTGACTCTCGTTACACTATCTCTCCCAGTCAAGTTGAATTATATAAACCCCGACTGCTTTTAGTGCATGTACAAGGTGCGATGAGTGACAATGACCTCAAAACCGTTGATGCAATGCTTTATAATTCATTTGTTGGATCTTGTTTAGCACGATGACTCATTGGAGATCATCAACGGTGATGTGTCACAAGATTATAAAAACGAATGGATGGTCCAGTCACTGAAAGAAAGGCATATATTGCTATTACCAAAATTATGTCAGAAGAAGGACAGGAAATTTCTGATTTTGAAGGTATGGAATAGGTAGAGATCGTTGATTCTGATGAAATTACTGTAGAATCAGAAGAACTTTTGAAAATTGGGAAACAAAATTATTGCAATCTAAATGCATCACAGAGGACGATTGTTGACGATGTCTTAAATGCGGTTGATAATGATGATTTAGCATCCAAATAAATGTTATACGTCGATGGCATAGGGAAATCGGGTAAAATCTCTATCTATACAACTATTTATTATCTCCTTAAAGGCCAGACGAAAATTGTGAGCACAAATGCATACACAGGTATTGCTGCAACGTTGTTATCAGAAGAAAAAACTTCTCATCGAACTTTCTGTTTGCTAATATTCTCAACAGCAGATAGCACATCATCATTTCTTCATGGATCCAAAGCGGCTGTAAAACTGAGAGAAGTGGATATTTTAATCTGGGATGAAACTCCAATGGCACCAAGGTATGCTCTCGAAGTTGCAGATGGAAGCGCAGCCAACAAGGATCATTATAAATAAAATCATAATATTATGTTGTAAATAATTTGTTTACGCAATATTCATCAATACAAAACTTTTCCATTATTTGGACTCGAATTTGGGTGCTCCGAGTTTGAGTGAAAATTTTCGTATCACGTTCAAAATTTATATCGCTTGCTATCTCTCTATCTTACCTCTAAAATGCAAAAAAAACAAAAAAGGACACAAACTCTTTGCACACAACGTTTATATTTTCATTCCATAGATTTATAATTCTAGTGATAATCGCATATCAAATTTATTAATGATTCGAATTTTTGGAACTGGACTTGTTGAAGATATTATACAAGAAAAAATTCCTGAACTACATCAAGTCTCGAGACCCCAGACAATTTACGATTGTATTGGATTGGGCCTGGAGTTGAAAAGGCAGAGCACACACCCTCTTTCTCTCCTTCTACATTTACCATCGGCTTAGCAACTGCAACATCAATATGCATGACCTGTATACACATAAAAAAGGATAAGATTAAATAAACGATTATCCATTATCACGCTGAAAGAGACATTAGCAGTTAAGTAATACGTTTCAAAAAATGATTGAAGGAGCAAAGTATTAGAAAGTTATTCCAGAATTTTTATCCTTGTTTAATACTTTTTTAAAAAAGAATTAGACGTGATGAAATGCGCATTAGCTTTCTTTAATAAAAAAAGATTAATAAATATTTAAGTCATGCAGAACAAGACAAATGAAGAAAATGAAGATGATCACATGTTACACGGATTACCATTTTCCTGAAAAATAGAAAAATCGGGAAATTAATTAAAATACTTTAGGAATAACGGGACAATGTAATTAAAGAATACAATTACAGAGGCAAGAAATTCGGTACTAAGATCACTAAGAATAAAGTAGACATTTCTAAAAATACAGGTTTTTCCATTCATGTGCAGCAAATTCATAAATATTTATGAATATATATATATATATATATATATATATATATATATATATAAGTCCCACAATTTTGTAGGCTTTAACCTCAATGTCGGTTCTCTTGCCGGTGAGTAGAATAAGCAGGTTTTCCCCATCCTTAATTATAAAAAAAAAATGAATGTTATTAAACAAGTAGGATATGATAGGAAGCATTGTAAAGATGAAAATATTATTTCAAGACACAACCCGCAAATCCATGCATCTGACACCGGAATTCCAAACCCTCTGTTAAATGCAAATACTAAAAATGTAATACTTACGCCAATTCAGACTTTTCGAAATACACAGTTGAGTTAACACTTAATGCAGCACTGCAATATTCACACATAGTCAACTTAAAAATTTGTTCTTCAAAAAGGATGACGAGGTGACGATAGCTTAAGCGGCTGATGCAACAGTTGCCATCGTTAAGTTTAACTTCGGTAAAATTCAGAAACGTTCGACACTGATCGTTAACCAATCATATTGGTTTAACGAAAATATGTTGTGTAGGACAGTAAAAAATAACAGAGACCACAATAAAAATTACCGATCTAGATAGGACTTTTCTTCTATGAATTTTTCCGTTATACCCATATAAAAAATCATAGACCTTTAAATTTTATAGTGCCGTTTTGTGAAATTTATGGAGGCATATATGATTAATTACGAAATGTATTAGGAAATTTGATTTATTAATAGCAACTTTTATTTGTGAGTCAAAGAAATTCTGGTATTCTAGCATTTGGCACCGCGATTCTAGTGCTCAGCACAGTAATTTTTCTTGAACTAAGGAGAACTCTGACAAGTGAACTAATATGATTCTTCGATTTCACAATGTAGTTCTCTCCCCAAAAAGCTGAATAATAAATTAAACTTTTTTGAAGATATTTTACATCATCTGCAACGTGTCCAAGATGATGGAAGACCATCGTCTGCGAATCTGCTTCATACTATGTTGGCATAAGTTTTGCGAAAGTTTTTAAAAATTGAATCTCCATTTCTGTATGGGCAACAACCCATTCGTTATTGCAAATAATCCGTGATGCGACGTGTAAAAGAAGAAAATGTTTATTTTATATTTTATAATTTATACTTGATATTTTTTTAATTTTTTTTTATCTGTATCCAGGACCTTTTTGAGAATGACACTTCCAACATACAGAAGGAAAAATGATTATTGTGTTGCCTTTCAGTGTGAAAAATCCTCAACGTCGAATTTATTCCGTTGGAATTCCGTGAGTACGAAAGGAGTAATAGCATCCATTGATGTTTTTAAAATCTGTAGTTGTTCTTTTAACATCTTATATTCGTTTTTCTCTTTACTTATGCATTGTTCACCGAGATTCTTCATGACATTTCAAGATAAGATATGCATAACGTCCAGAGGAACATCTTTTATTAGATGAAATCCAGGGATATTTATCAAAAGAGTAATAATTTATTCCTTGGTGACAGGATCTTTTAAATGGTATTAGCTTTGAGTTTGACTCAAGAAAGATTTTCTAGTTCTCAACCGACAATCCAGTTTAGGATAAACTCTCTTCCTATTGACTCTGTTTCCCTTGATGATACATCTCTCGCATCCAAAAAAACGCCTTTGGACCTTTCGTACACATTAAAAATACACAAGCTGGGCTGTCACCAATAATTGCCTCCAATTCGTACTTATATTCTCGTCCCTAGATACTTACACCTTTCTCAATTAGAGTCTTTATTTCCTCAATAAAATCTTTGAGATATCCTGCAACATGCTTAGGTTTTGATGTGTCATAGTATGCACCCACGACAAATGGAGTCACTATGTACTTTGGATTAAAAGTCATCATAGCAACTGGCCATAATTGCCCTTTACTATTGTTGAAGACTTTCATTCCATCGATGAATACGAGCACTTTAATTACCTACTCCTCATAAACTCGAGGATCAATTAGGCTCTCCAAACCATTTTTAATACCAAGATAAACGTAATCGCGGATGGTTCCATTAGAAGAAACTAATTGTTTTCTGTTAAACTTGTGTTTAAATCCTAAAAACTCAGGAGCTTTGGGAAGCATTTTACTGTACCCTTCACTTTTCAAAATTTGTAGAAGTTCATTAGAAGTTTTCAATTTTGTCCCTCCCAAATTATCCACAGTTCATTTTCGAATTTTTTCTTTGAAACTTTTTGGTTCCTGAGTGACAAAATATCACTTAATGATGTCCCTCGTTTATCCTGGTATGGTTAATTTTTTTCTAATACCTCAGATACAACTGAATGTGGACCAGAAGTATCATTCTCGTATTCAGGACTGTTTAAGAATTCATCGGATATGTGAACCCGACGACACTCCTCATTCAACAAATCCTCATCACTTCATATTTTATTTATTTCAACTTCATCAATACATGACACTTCCTGTTGACAGTGTTCCATGCAATCCACCCATTCACTATTTTCTCCACTGTTGATTTCCCTACTTTTCAGTTGTTGATTATAATTATCAGTATTACTATCAATCAAAATTTCATAATCCAACTAATTCATTTTTTTTTTAAGGACGATATTTCTGTACTCTGTTTCGATATTTAGAATATTTATGACCTCCCGATGACATTTTCGTTCACGAAATATTATCTGTGTGAATTTTCTGTTTGAAACCGAAATTATCATATACCAGTGAGGTTATGGTCGTAAGTAAATGGAGCAGGTTTAACTGACATGAGAGGTCACTATGACTCATAATGTACAAAGAAATGAAATTAAACAATCAGGATTTTTCCTGAGACCTTTCATTGAAGTCGAATGATAATTTTAGTGAAGCATTGGATTGTTTTTTTTTCCACGAAGTTTGCTAAAAATTATGCAGTTCTAGCTCAAAACCCTCGAATGCTAGTTATAAGTTCTCGAACTTGCAAAAAATTCGCAAAAACGAAAATAATAGTATATTATGCAACATGTGCGTAATATATTTTTTGACTCGTGGGAGGTTTGTAACACGAGCCGAAGGCGAGTTTTACAATCCCACGAGTCGAAAAATATATTACGCACGCGTTTCATACAAAATTTTATGTCATTGCGCCCGGAATCCGCGATTTAACCGAGCGAAGCGAGGTTAGAATCGCGTGATTACGGGCACCGATGGCATAAATAAATAATATTTTTGTTCCTCAATAAATTGATGAAATTTTTTAATAAAAAAGATATATTCATATCTGTAAAAAATATGAGCTGTTGAGTTTTTTTTATGGAAGGTATTGGGCATGAATTTTATAACTTTTCTTTCTTGGACTTTAGAGCACTAAATTCAAGACAATACGCAAAAAAATAGGATATTGTATTTTCGGAATCTTTTAGAGCAACATAAAAATCTATTGATTTCTTTACAATGTAGAGCTTGATCCATGATTAATACAACGTTGCCAATAGGGTCAAACTCATTTTTTTATAATCGACAACCTTGGAATTATTATCTACAACATATTGGCCCGATCTTGGTTTAATCTTATCAATTCAAGCTCGGACACTCACGCTTGGATCAAGATGGGAATTGCCTTGGTCGCCAAGCTTTAATTCACAGGAGATGACCAACTTGGTCCTACCTAGCATTTACCAGGGGTTTGAACGTGGTCAAAGCTAGGAATTCCGAGGCTTGGAATTATCTAGATTCCATATACTGAATCAAGTTTGGTTGAAGCTACGGGATCTAACCTCGGAATACCAAATCTGGACCACGATTGTAACTACCTTGGTATACAAGCTTGTAGTTGCATTATATCACTCAGTTTGGTTGAACTACTGCAATTCTCTAAAATGAAGGTTGACCCAAGTTAGCAATTCCAAGGCTTGGAATCACCTAAATATCATATATTGGATCTATCTTGGTTGAAGCCGCGCGGTCCAATCTCGGAATGCAAAACTTGGGCCATGATCGAAACTACCTTGATATACAAGCTTATATCTGCATTATATCACCATAGTCGGCTGAATCATGGTAATTCCACAGAATCAAGGTTGGTTCAAGCTAGGAATTCCAAAGCTTGGTATCCTAACCTGATCCAAGCTTGAGCCCACCGTTCAACCTTGGATTTCTTCACCTGGGCTCTAGCGTTGTGATTAATTTTACAACCACATATAGTTGGCATCCACTTAACACACTCCATTTCAGGGTGAAAATATATCTGAGATACATTTAATATATATCATAACTTTTTTGTTAACATAAATCAGCAAATATGACAAAGATACCAGTCCAGATATAGCTTATTAATATAACTTTCATTTGAAAAGTTATCTATTTCATTGATACACACAAAAATAATCAATGAAGATTGGATAATTTTGCAAGTTTCAGAGTATCACTATTGGCGCTTATAATTCAAATTATAGGCTTCACTGAAATCAACCTATTACTCCTTAGATCCTACGGGATTACT